CTTGAAGGATTTGGAAGTTCACCGTCTTCTGTTTTACGCAAAGATGTTTCTGAATCATCTCCTGAAAAATCTCCTAAAACTTTTCAAAAAGACGAGAATATACTTTTTTTAACTGATTTAGTCAGGAAATATGAAGATTCCGAAAGACAAACGAATGCTTTAATAACTAGACATGAGCAACACATAGATGAATTGGAATCTAAAATTGAGAGTGTACGCTTAGAGCTTAAGGATAAAAAGAAAGAATTGTTTGAAACCAGTTCAAGAGAAAAAAATCTTTTTAACCAGGTTTCAGTTCTTGAAAAAGAATTAGAAAAGCGGCAAAGAGAGTTACATTCATGGGAAGATAAATATTTAAATATGAAGACAAATTGTGAAGAACAGTTGAATGAAGTAGAACGTGTAAAAAACATAATTAAAGAAAAAGAGAAAGAAATGGAAAAATCTGAGCAATTGATTAAAAATTTAAAAGAAGGAAAAGATTCAGTAAGCGATTAATCGTTTCAGATTCTTACTTAAGTAATTTAGTTGGAAGTTGAACGCTGTTTTTTCTCTGATAAAATTTCCGCTCTAAAAAAACAATATCAAGAATTAGAATTAAAAAATCAGGAATTAAACGAGTATAAATTTGAAAATATACGTTTAAATGAAATAATTGAAAAACTTAATTCTGAATTAGATGAAATTAAAGAAAATAAATCGAAGGAAGATTTATTAGAATATACTATGACAAATATAAAAAGACTAAATCCTATGGTATTTTTATATATTAGTGCATATTTTAAAATTATTAATGTTGATATAGAATTTAGAAAACGAACTTTTGTCAACACTTCAAAATGATAAAATAGAAGCAGGTATTTTAATAAAATTTATCAACATGACTTATAAAAGACCAAAATTTAGTATTAGATGCTCATCAGGCTTTTATAGATATACCCGAGACATTAAATAAAGGTGTACAAGTAGATGCTTTACAAGAAACAAATATAGATCTTAAAAATGAAAAAAATAACTACTTAAATTTAGATGGTAATTCAAACAAAAAAGAAAAGAAAACAATAATTGATTTTTTAAAGCTTCTTCTAAGACGGAGTATACAAATGATAAAAGTTTTGAAAACTCTCAAGAAATCAGTAATCAATACGATTTGCTTTCTCGTGAAATAAAAACTCAAAATCATTTGATTGAAAAATTATTTCAGCATAAATCTAAGATTTTTAAGAAAAGTGATAAATTAAAAAATAATTTAAAAATTAATAGTTTTTTGTTTTCTATCTTATTTCTTAAGTCTTTAAACTGGATTGTTTTGGTTTTATGTGCTTTTATTATACTTTTTATTGGTGTTTGGATGACTAATCAAAATTGGTTTGTATTATTTGGAGGAAAGCCTCAGGGTATTACATATGCTGAATTGAATGCATGGAAACGAGCAAATTCTTTAGATTATAAGTTATATCAAAACGGAATTATAGGCTTTAGAAGGTCATGGTTAGAAGGGAATTGGAGATGGATCAATTGTTTAGAATGGTGGATAGATAATTTGTTAAGAGATGTTAATATACAATGGCCTAGTTAATGAGAGGATTTTATGAAAATATTTTAATAATATATTTCATTTGATATATTGTCTTCATTTTTTGTAATTTACTTTAATATATTGGATTAAATAAACAATATACAATGTTTATTTAACGTACAACTTTTATTGCTCATTAAAAGATAGTATAATATAATAATTTTTTCCAATAATACTTGGTTTAACATATAGAGATTTGTAATGTATAGATGTTTGATATCTATGATTTATTTATATTATTCTTTAAGTATTTAAAATATGTGATAATTCTATTTTTATATTCAATACATAGCTTCTAAATGAACTTTTCCTCTAAAAACATTAATTATAAAGAATTGGTCTATTTAATAGAGTTTTTGATTTATTCTAGTACATTAAATATATAGATTTATATATGATAAGCAGTTTTAAAAATAATTTAATGAATAATTAATTGTACCAAATACTAATATTAAAAATTAAATGTTAAAATTATAAAACAAAGAACTTAATATCCTAGGATTTTTTAATATTTCATAGATATTACTAAAAATTCATAGATTTACATAGTAAGCTTATTAATTGATGTCCATAAAGTAATATTATAAAATGTTTTGTTCATTATAATACAAAATAAAATTAAAACCTGAACAAAAAATGATGTATTCTAAAATTTAAACTAAAAAACAAAATAATATTTAAAGTGTCGTGTAATTTTAGAGATTTCAATCTCTAAAATGATAAAAATCCCAAAAGAAAATATGTATTTTTAAAAAAACAAAGGTAGATTCTTCTCATCTTTCTTTCTTCTTTCTAAATGCATAGAATTACGAATTTCTCTTCTCCATTCATCTATACCTCCATAATTGAAGTTAACTGCCTTTTCTAATCCTGATGGAGATCTTATATTATGATCAGTTTTTGAATATAACATTTCTTCGAGTTTAGAAAATGGTGAATTATATGAAATAGCAGGAGGCGAGTGAGATGAATGAATCGACAAAGACGAAGGGTTTTGATGATAATAATATAATAAATTTGAAGAATTTGTTACTTCTGGTTCTTGATATGAAGGTGTGCAGCGAGATCGATATAAATTAGAATCTAATTTTGATGTAGGAGATATGCCATTTGTAAAAAGTCTCACAGGTCCTGCATTATCACGATGATCTATAGAACCTATAGAAGTATCGCATGATATGCAAAATGGTGGTGAAGCAATATCATTTTCAATAGCAGTAATGAAAACATTATCGTTATTTTCTTCAGGTAAAATTGTCAAGCTTTTTCTATCATCAGATAAAGGTTGATTTTCTTTGCCATTTTGAGTTTCTAAAATTTCTAAAGAAGCTATTTTTTTTTTAAGTTGAGAAAATTCTGTATTTTCATCCATTTTTGAAAGAGGGTGATTAACATTTGTTAATGTATTTGTAGTACATACTGTAAGCGGAGATGCTTGTTCATTTTTAGACAACTCTTTTAAAGTAAATGAGCTACAAAAATTTTCTTTATACTGAGAGCTTGAAGGAACTGGACGTTGAAAAAGCAAGTTTTTAGCTAAAAATTTACGTTTAAGATGTAAAACGAATCTTCCAGCAGCAGACTTTTTTTTAGAGGGTGAACGCAAAGAAAATGTACTAAATTTATTCCTACGAAGGGCCTGAAAACGCGAGCATTCTTGATCACCATGAATAAATAGCGGCACTGATAATCTCTGCTTTGGAACATGATAATGAGCATCTGGCATTGAAGCGTATCCCGTAATCCCTGTTATTACAGAGCCTTGGTCCATAGACCTTAATGAAACAATATCTGTTTGTGCGTCATCACTCCACATCTTTGATTCTATAGGTAAATGAACATGGAACTGCTTTAACATAGCTAAGCGGGCGGCATGAAGTGCGGCCGGCTGGGACTCTGATGTTGGATCACCTGACTTGAGCCGCATACCAAGAGCTATAGACAGATCTCTTTATAAAAAATAAGCTATTATTATAAGATTTATTTTCTCTTTGACCGCCTGCAGTCGTGCTTGGTTGGGCTTCGATAAACATCAAACAAAAAATCAAGGTCAAGCTCATCAGAAATCAAGGTTTAAAATAATTTCAAGATGAGCTCTGAATTTATGGTTGAATGGTTAGAAGGAGTTGGAAATATCTAGAAATAAACATCGTATTTGTATAAATAGTAAATAGTTGAAAATGTATAAAGTATCATTAATGAGTTGTAATCGGGGCTGAATATTTGGTCAATATTGTTTATTAAAGTGAAAAAAGTTATTAATTTCTTTATTTAAACATTCATTATTAAATTTATGATAAACGAGATGATGCTAGAAAAAATTATGTTTAAAATAGGGTTATTCATGTTCTTTTAGTAGACCCACTTAAATCTTTACTACTATTTTTATTCATAATCTTTTATTGTAATATATTATCACTCTATTTTTTTCAATATTATCTATATTTTTATAATACAATATTCAAATCTGTTTCAAACAAATTAAAAGGTTAGAATGTATAAGAAATGTCCTCATTCAAAAGTATGATTGAACTGTTTTCATAGAATATTTAAAGAGATAAAAAAAGTACTTGATATTTTTAAAACAATTCTATAATTTAGAACTATTTTCAAAGTATTATTTAGTCTAATATTAAATATATTAAAAGAATGCCAATATGAAATTCCTGAATCAAAAAAAATGATCAATTCATTTAATCATTTCTCTAAAAAAGCTTTTTAAATAATAGAACAAACATAAAAATATATTCAAAACATTTCTAAAACAATTCAAAAACATAGATAAATAGAGAAACACCGTTCTATTGAATTGTGATCCAAACAATAAATTCAATAATAATCTTTAAAGTACGAATACAAATTAGATTTATAAAAATTATTTCTGGGATATCAAATTTATTTTAAAAATTTCATCTCTTCCAACATTTTCTATTCTATACACAATTGATATATAAAAATCAATAGATTGATCAATATCTCAATCTATATATTACTTATTTATTCTCTATAAAAATAATGTTAAAATTTTTATTTTATATATTATATCCTATTTTTTGAATAAACTATCTAATCAAAAACAATATATTAAAAAATCAATGTTTTACAAATTAGTTTATAAACATTTTTTTTTATTTGTGATTAGTATATGGACAATGTACCAAAGTGGTTACTGGGTTGCACTCGAATCGCCGTTTACGTGCGTGTGATGCAATGGGCTTTGCCCGCGTAGGTTCAAATCCTGCCATTGTCGACTTTTTTAAAAATTTAAAAAAACTTCAAAAAAGTAATTTTTATGTTATCTTTAAACAAAATAAATATAGTCATATTATAAAATCTTTAAATAAAAACATTAAATATTGTTTTAAACTATAAACAATGAATTTACTAATTATCTATTATTTGTACTCAGAAACGATGATGCACACCAGTGGTTTAGCGGTAAAATCTTCGCTTCCCATTCGGATTTTAGCGAAGGCCCCGGGTTCGACTCCCGGCTGGTGTAATTATGTTTTTCTAAGTACGTTTTTGATATTCTCTAAAGCTTTAAGATATTTTTTCTATTGATGTAATTTTTCTAATAAAAAAACAGTTTATTGAATATATATATAATTATTTCCATTTGTTTAATATTTATTAGACACTAACAATTTTATAACGATTATCATGTTTTTAATTGTAATATTTTGACAATTAGCTTTAAATTTAAATAAAGATTATGTTTAAAACTTTAAATATCATACTCAATTGTATAATAATTGTATATTATTTAAACCCATTAAGATTTTGATTTATATACTTTAAGTATTGTGTTTTAAATAATATTTTATTTTTAATAACTTACTGAAATTAAATAATTGATATATTAAGAATAAAGAATATAAAATACAATATAAATATAAAACTCATTAAATTCTTTATATAAGAAAGAATTGAGGAAAAGATAAAGAAAGCCTAATAAGCCAAAAAATATTTAAAAAACATCATATATAACATTGCGCATTGCATAATCCTCTTTGATAATAGAAACTCCACCTATATTTATTTTTTATGTCCCTTAAAGTTGACAATTTCTTTTGCTTTTACATCTAGGCCATCATCTTTCTGCTCATAATTATACATATGAGAACGAAAAATATATTCATTAATCACATTTTTGTTAAAAGTATACCATCAAGAATATGATATTTTAATATTCCTGAGGTCAATTTGGTCTTATTGTCATATGCTTTTTCTCGAGGTGCAATAAATATAATATTATACAGAAATTTAACTAATTAATCAATGTTTATTCCGTAATTCCTTTATTAAAGGTTCAAATTGACTTGAGGATAAAAAATCAATAACAGAAATAGATGTTTCAATTACTTTATAGTGTCGTTTTTTAGTTTAGTATTAAGTGACAATACTTAGTGTTTTGATCCTTTGCAAAACACACATTCGCCGTATAAATACATAAAGAATGTTCTATTTTTATCACTTTTACATTATAGAATATAGTTATTAAATCATTCAAGTCCCATTTTTAAAATTAAAAAAAATATAGTTAAAAAATTATCTATATATTTTTAAAAAATGCAGATTATCAAGTCTTATGTCCTTTATACTAAGTAACTTGAGATTTATTTTTTTAAAATATATCTATATAAATTTTATTCGCAGTTAAAAAAATTAATATTCATTTTTAAAGGCTGAAATAGATGGATCTAGAAAAAAGTTCTATATTATTTCCTCATGAAATTAAAGAAAAAATATACATTGTAAATATATATATATATATATACTTGTTTATTAATATTTTCAAGTTGCCTGATTCTTCTAATGATTTAACCTCAGTAACGTTTCAAATCATTAAAGAAGATCATACTTTGGCAAATGCTCTTAGATATATAATTATGAAAAAGTATTAAATAATTTTTATATATTTTAATCTTAATAAAAAGTCCCGATGTTGAATTCTGTGGATATTCTATTCCTCATCCATCTGAACCTAAACTTAATTTTCGAATTCAAACATATAGTATTTTCTAATATAAAATTTACATTTTTAATAACCATTTTTTAGGAAAAGTTTCTGCTGTTGATGTTTTTCTTAAAGGGCTGGATGATTTAATAGCTCTTTGTGATCATGTCGCTGATACTTTTCAAAAAGAAATAAAATGTAGTAATAGTAATGAATAAAAAAGAATCAATTAATATATATATATATATTAGTGTTATTTCTATTATTTTTTAAAATTACACTATAAAATATTTATAAATTTTAAAATATCTTAAAAATGTAATAAATAATAAATAAACCTATAAATTTAATTCAAACAAACTTTTTTCATTTTAAGCCTTTTTATTTTTATTAAAGAGTTTTTTTTATGCAAATCTATATTTATTGGATTTTCAAATGAAATCTTAAGCTGTGTACCTTTTAATAAGTCAATACTTGTCTTAAATGATGCCTACGAAGGTTTTATTAGTGATACAGTGATTTTATTTTCTTAAATTTTCTATGATTTTATCAGAGTTTGATATTTTCATTTTAAAATAATTAAGCAATTATAAACTTGATTTCATCTGGAAAAGTATATCTATATACGGCTTATTCGTCACTACAGACAGCAAAAGGAAGAATTACTATGTATGGCGATGATCCACAGATAAAACTTTTTCCAGGTTTATTTTTTAAATCAGAAGGTACTTTTAGTCCTTATAATAATTAGTTGATTTCTATCTTTTTAATTTTTTCTTGGATTTTACCAAGACAAATATTAATGCTGCAAGGAATCTTTATTTAGAGATGCAAAAAATGACTGGAATATTCCTATTTTACATTATGTTGAATTAGATCATATTGGAAATTTGAGGGGCCTAATAGATATTATTTTGTTTTATATAGGTGGTTAAAGTCTTTAGAAACTCTCATATATTTGCATAGCATATTAAAGTGAATCATATATTGAAAATATTTGAGTTCATCAAAAAACAGACAGAGATTCTGAATTTATACGCTTATGGTACTTTATGGCAACAATGGAATGAATCATATCTAAATATATACTAATATTTCTATTTATCCAAGTTTATAAAGTAGAAAATTATGGAGGCTTTTCAACAAGTGAAACTTTAATCATAGATGTTTTTCTTTGTTTCAATTATTTTAGGATTACAACTCTATAGACTTATTATATCATTATTTTTCTTACAAAAAAGATTTTTAAATAATATTTGCTTTATAGAATAATGGATATCAATTCTATTTTCCGCCTAAACAATTGGATATTGTGCCAACTATGGCCTTTTTATTGGAATTTGATATTCAAAAATAGTTTAGGTGTTATACTACTTGAATTATTAAATTTGCAGCAAGGTAATAATTTATTATTTTAATTTTTTTTAAAAATATGTAATAGATATTACAAATTAAAATTCTTTTAAAAAAGGTATAATTAATCAGGTTTCTGAAATCCTGAAAACAGTTTATTACAGTTTTCTAGATATCGGAAAATCAATTTATGCTCATATATTGATAACAATATAAAGAAACTATCTTGTATTAAAAATAAACAAGATTTTTAGAAGAAGACCAAGCAATTGATTTAAAATATTTAAAAGAATTGCATTTTGATCATTAGTCTTTAATATTTCATCTTAAAACTAGATATAACAAGTGTTTAAAAGAAGCACACATAATTCTTTCTAAAACCTTTATAAACTATTAATACAGATTATATGATTCTTGGAATAATTATATTTATTTTTTCAATTTTCATTTCATATTTAAAAAAAACGTTATATCTATCGTTTAGTATATTAGGATAATATCTGGAATAAAATGATGCACTTGAATTGATAATTAGATGATCTCTAAATACTTTAATTTATAGTATTTTTCGTCCAACATTTTCTGTTATTTTTGTTACAACTATTTTTTAATATCAAAAAATTTTAATGATAATCATAATTTCTTTTTCTAAATTCAATAAATAATTTAAACATTTTTGCTTCAATGACTAGTCTATGTCCTTTACTAACTATATTTTTAATTACTAAAATTGCATCATTATTATTCAGATCTTGATCTTCGATGTCATTGCTTCTTTTTATTTCAATGTAGAGCTTATATTATTAAATTTATTATTACTTTTTTCTACTAATAAAATTGTATTCATCCACTTGTCAAATCCAGCAGAGATGTATAATGGATGTTTTTGGCTTTTTTCCAAAAAACATCAAAGTGTGATTTTCTGTTTTATTAGTAATTCTGACCCAATTCTAAACAATTCCTACTATTTCATCCTATATCTTGCACAATCATGTATTTTACGGCCTGTTTTTGTCATAAATACTTTATCATACTACTTGGTCAATTTTGGATAATTTCAATTAAGCTTTATTTTGATGCTTAATATTGAAAATCAACTATTTGAGAGACAGACTATTCTTTAGTACTCATCTAAGCTAGTTTTTTAAGCTTTTATACATTTCACTCATTTTATATACAAATTGTCAGTGCACTTTATAATACAGGCTTTTGTATATGAATATGTTTCTAATAAACACGGCTTAATAAAATCCCTACTTTATATATTTTTAATCTTTCTCTATAAATATTTTGCTTATATAAAAGGGCTTTCAGGCACTGCCTTATAATTTTAAAAAATCATATAAAGAGATGAAGCTGCTTATTATTGGAAATGGAGGTACCAGATATTCTTAATATAACATGATTCATAGTATTTTAGGTAGAGAGCATGCACTTTCATGGAGATTATCAAAATCTCCGCGGGTTGATAAGATATTTGTTGCTCCAGGTTAAATGATAAAAGAGACCTATCCATCTATCTATCTTATTAAGTCCCATAGGAAATGCAGGGACAAATGGGCTACATGGAATTGTAGAAAATATAGACATTAGTCCTCTAGAATTTGAAAAATTAGTGAAATTTGCACAAAGTAATGATATTGATCTTGTTATACCAGGACCAGAGTCTCCATTGGTCGCAGGCGCAGAAGAGCACTTTAGAAAGGGTGCTTTCTATATTAATTGGTCTTTAAATCTCTAATTATAATAGCTGGGATTCAGTTTTTTGGACCATCAAAGAAAGCTGCACAAATAGAAGGGTCAAAAGTATTCTCTAAAGATTTTATGGAGCGACACAATATACCGACTGCTAAATATAAGGCAAAGGAACATTTTTTTTATCTTTGTAAAATAATTTTTTACAGAGCTTTACTTCATATGAACTTGCAAAAGAATATATATCACAAGTAGATTATGATATAGTTATTAAAGCATCTGGATTGGCTTCTGGAAAAGGTGTGATTGTTCCAGAATCTAAATCACATGCTCTTGCTTCCCTTCATCAAATTATGGAAAACAAAATTTTTGGTATAGCAGGTGATGAAGTGGTTATTGAGGAACGTTTAGTTGGAGAAGAATTAAGTATTCTTGCTTTTTCTGATGGATATACTATAAAGCTTTTACCACCTGCAAGAGATTATAAACGCCTA